CATCGAATAAGCCTATTTTTATTGATTTTTGAGGTGGGGTAGCTAAACTGAATAATTACCCAATGTTCCACACCTTTAAAAATCTAAAAAAAATTTTTTTAGATGTAATATTATGCTAAAAAGTGTCAAATTTTTTCAGATTTTTTAATTCACACGATAGGAAAATAAAAATAAAATATTGAAATTGACGTTTTTCATCATTACTGCTACATGAATAAATTTAGCAGGTCGAAATTTGATGTAAAATAATCTTTTATCGAGCTTAACAATGTTAAGTACTCAAAATTGGATTTGATTGGGAGACATTTTTCATATGCTTATTCTCGGTTAGACCCTTTCTTTAAACTCTTAGGAGATTATGCCAGAAACATTATATACAATCTTTCAATTGTCCTTATATATGTACGTAAATCATGGCTAAAAATAACAATAATCGTAGTCGATTATACATAAAAAATTTAGAATTATGCTAGCAGTAGTCTAATAAATAGAAACTTTATATAGATCAATTAATTTTCTTTTGTTTCATACTTTCTTAACATACATATATTTTTAAAACTTTTTACCGTTTTATGAATTTTTTTTACCTTAATTTTACATTTAATTTGCAAAAATGCTATTTTTTAAATGGTTTTGTAAAAAGCCATTAAAAATGAGAATATACAAGATTTACGATTTTAAAAAATTCTTACTATGCTTATATGTATCCCATCCTGTCGCTGCTTCATGCTTTCTCGCATAATTTGATTCGCTTTGCTACAAAGAAACATTTCGTTGCTTGGATTGTCACAAAAAATTAGATTAGCATTCATAGTTAATTGATCACGCGACTAATGACAATCGTAAACTCGTAATAAAGACTGAAAGGCAGAAAAGACTCGATGAGATTGAGAAGCATCAAACTGAGCGCATGAAGAAGCGGCAGTACTTGCGCAAGATGGCAACCCAACAGTTCTACAAAAGCATGCAGATGCTGCAAGCCAATGCAAAACGCGAGAAAGACGAACCTTTTGAGGATTACTCGATTTTTTTATATCGTCAAACTGCACCAGATTTCAAGGATAGAGTAAAAGACTTAGAGCAGAAAATACTTTATCCAGTAAGCTAGAGATTAAGTGATGAGTGCAAATGTTTGACTATGTTCTTTTTTTCTATGTGTTGACGAAAAGGGGTATGTGAAGTTAGCACCCCAACTATAGTACTCAGGAGTTCTGAATAGAGTTCCCGTTTCTTTTTGACGAGACAAAGAGTTCTATATAATTTATAACAAGAGTTCCGCTTAATAAG